AGCTCTTTATAATCTGCTTTACCTAAAGAAACCTAAAGTAAAACTAGTTAATAATAAGATAACCTAATATCTTAATAGTAGTAAGTTATACTCTTCTTCTAGTCTTATTTTAATAAATATCTATTACTAATTCTATATAGATATTATTAATTCTAAGCTACTACCCTTTTAGCGAGAGAATCAGAGCTATTTTCCTATAATTACTTTACTTATATAGGATATTCTTATAATTCTAGTAACTAATATAGGTATAGAATGATTATTTAATACTACTTATAATATTTACTATTATTACTACGGTTATATAAAGGCTAAGACTATTAAAGAGTTAATACTATTCCTTTATATATTAAGATTTAACCTTAAATTATATAAGGTAAAAGAGCTTAAATAATTCTTCTCTTTAAATAAGATCGAAGTATTAAGAGAGGAAAAGGATAATAGGCTTTATAATATTAAAATTAAATAGATTAGTAATATAGAAGAACAGCTAAAAAGCTTAGGTAATTTAATTAATATTAATAATAATAATACTAGTAATAATAATACTAGCGATCCTCTATTACTAAGTTATACTACTTAGCTATATATATTAGGGAGGAAAAGGAAGCATATAGAGGATAATATATATTAGTCTTATTAGTTCACACTTAATTTAATTATAATATATTAATATATACTTAAACGAATTAATGATTTGTTGAATTTAAAGTGAATAATATAATCGAAATACTCAAAAATACTAGGAATTTCTGTATTATTTGTGCAGTTATAAGAAATTAGTATGTTTACACTGTTTAGTCGTAGGGGGGGGCTTGTCGGGCCCCCCCCTTCGAGCTATAGGCCTAAACTAAAAGCCTGAAGCCCGCTGCGAGCTTTAGGAACAGGCCCAAAACCCGACCCTTTTAAGGGTCGAGTCGGGTCGGGTTTCGGGCTTTTCGAGCTTTGCGGAAGTCTACTCTCTAGAAGGATCCCTATAAAGGCCTACCTATCCCTATAATCGAACTTACTTCTAAAGGGACTAAAAAGTTTCTTAGTCTTACTAAATTATATAATAAGTGTAATTTCTATCTCTCCCTCTTAATTCCCTATTTACCTCTGGATATATTATATCTCTTAAGATCCTTCTTATTATCTCTAGAATAGCTAACTAGGGTGATATAGCTAACCTATTAATAGAACTACTTTTATACTTCCTAAGATTGTTTATAGGCTGTCTTTAGTAATATACCTATATATATTACTTTTTAGTATCCTATTTTACGCGTAGGTATTCTAGAATCAGGGGCTGACTTTAAAGGCTTAGCTATAGAAACTTTTTATTAGTAAAGGCTATAAGTAGCTCCTAGTGCCTTTAGATCTAAAAAAGTCTAAGTAGTATATATTTTATAAAACAGAGTTAGTTAAAGGCGTTCTAATTATTTAATAAACTATATAGATACCTAAGTCTATAATATCTACCTTACTAGTCATATTTAGTAAGATTCGTGGATAGAAAGGGGCATTTTATACTTATTAGTTCCGGTATAAAAGTAGTAAAGTACTTAATAAAAGTAGTAAGTTCTTCTTTAGATACTTTAAATTTAATTTATCCTATTAAGTTAGTAGCTAATATAGTCTATAGTAGACCTGGCAGTGACCCTCCATTTGGACCCGCCAAGACGCTAAGGAGGGTCCAAAGTCCGGATTCTGGACCCGCCAAGGAAATTATGCATGCATAACCTATCCTAATTAGGAAATAATATGCTTATAAACCATGATTTATATATATTTATGTCAAAATTTAGGTCTTGGCGGGTCGCTGGACCCTCGGAGGGTCCAAGGTCATGGACCACCCGGAGGGTCACTGCCAGGTCTAGTCTATAGGGTAGGTAAGTAAAGAGTAATATATATTAATTATAAAATATACTAGCCCTTATACCTTTCTTAACTACTATTATCCTTTATAAATTGATACCGATATAATCTAAGTTATCTATAGCCTCGACCTAGAGGTAGAACTAATATAAGCTATTACCTAGTAAAGCTATTAGCGAGATATATAACGCCTATACTACTTAACTAATTAATAGAGGGTATAGATTAAAGAATATCCTAAGTTAGAAGAGGTATAGCGTAACCTAGGTAATATCTATATATAGTATAAGGAGACTTAGGAACTAGGCCTACTTCCTAGACTCTAGTAATAGGAAAAGGAGGTAAGAAATATATAAAAAAGGTTATACTAGAGCTTATAATATAAGATCTAAGAGAAATTTAATAAAGAGTAAACCTTCCTAGATATTAAGGCGCAGCTATTAGGTATTATATTTAAAGAAGAAAGTAAAGACTTACCCTTAGAGGATACTATATACTCCCTTTAGTTATATCTTATATAGAGTCTTTTTTCCTATCCTACTTCTAATTTATTAGAAGATAAGTAGAATTAGCGCGATATAGGTACTATAGTAGTTATCTAGTATTATAATATCCTTAAAGGAGGCCTATTAAGGGGCCGGCCTAAATAGAAAGCTCCTAAATTTACTTCGCTGACTAGACTAATAGCTTAATAGAAGGATTTATAATAGACCTAAAGTAATATTAACTTATATAAGGTACCTACCCCTATACCTAGTAAGCCGTTATATACTACTAGGGAATACCTTAAAACTACTAAGCAGTTAGAGGTATACTTTTAGTACTTTATAAGTAAAGGGCTTCTAGATAAGGTTCGCTTTTAGGTATTTTATAATCCTAGGTATATTATATATTACTTTAATACTATTTATCTTAAAGAAGAACTACTTAAATATAACTAGTATAAAGTAAGCTTACTATATTAAATAGCGTTTTAGCGCTATACTTCTAATATATATCGCGTGCGAAGTCGTTAGCGATACCTAAAGCCGATATAGGGGCTTTAAAAATAAGAATAGGCCGGCTATAAATCGATAAAGCTATTAACTTAGTATCCGTTTACTTCTAATTTAGAATAGAATTATATTTACTATATCTAGCGAGAATATAGACTAGAGAGGTTCTATATAAATCCCCTATATAAGGAGAACGAGGATAGGATAGTTACTAAATTAGTAATAGCTCCTTATTATAGTTAGGTATTTTATAGCACTTAATACTTTATATATACTATCTTAGTTTTATATAATCTAATCAGGTTATATATATATATATAATAAATCATATAAAGTAGTATCTAATTGTCTCTTAGTAGTAGCCTACTTAAACTATTAACTCTTAGGTATTTAATAAGCCTTATACCCTAACTCTAGCTTAGTTAGATTTCTACTTTCCTTCTACCTAGTTAACCTAGTACCTAGGTACACTCTTATTTTTAAGCTACAATAACTAGTCTATTAAGCACGATTCTTATTAAAGATAATAAACTACCCCTAAGCTAACAGCCAACTAATTTATAAGTCTAAAGAAGATCTCTATATATATCTCTTAGGATCCTAATCGAACCAACTGATACTATAAGTAGTAGCATAGAACTATCACATAAACGCAAAAGGGCTAAAGGAAAACAACGTGATACTCTAGTATAGCTTTTCTAAGATACTCTGATTTCCTAAGCTAAGGATGGACCAGGATACCTATTTTAAGAAGCTACATAAGACACTTAACAAAGAAGTTAAGAGTCTCGATCAAGAAGTTAAAAAGCTACAAAGGTAAGTCCAGGAACTTCAGAGCAAGCTTCTCCTACAGGAAGAGCGGCATCAAGAGGAGCTTTCTCGAATACGCATTCTAAACTATAACATTTACTACGAGTAGCCGGATCATTGGTATACGCGGGTATACAGGCATTTGATTTATGAGGTATACGAAGAACGGCTTAATCGAGATCCATGCCCTGTATGTAGAAAAGAATTTTCGGGGTTTATCAAATGCTTTCTATTTGTAGGATAGATGTATATGTATTTTCTCATCAATATCAATGTTGTTTAACGAATCAAGATTATCACTCTATATCTTATAGTTAGTTCGAAATAAATGGAATATTCTGGTTTTCTTATAATTTCATGAGGTGGCTAGATAATGTGAGATAATTGAACTTACAAATTTAGGTATGATGATAGGGGAATGGGTATATCTTTATCGTAGAAATATGGATGGATGGATGGATGGATGGATGATTTCATTTACCCTGATCTCTCGCTGTTAGCGATGTACAGGCTGCCACGACGATGTTAAATATATGTTTGTCTTCACTGAGATTGATCCAAAACTTCCTGAACAGTGAATTTTGAGCCTCACCTGGTAAAGCCTGTGATTGTTTTCCACTTTAACCTGTGAAAAGGCTGGGGTAATTCCACTACCCCGTATGATGTGTCTCGCTTCATAGGAGACGTGGTGGTGGACTTTTAATGTTGCCGGCAATGGGATTCGAACCAGAGAACCCCAGAAGATGCCGGGTGACCAACCCCACATCTCCTGTATCAGGACCACTTTTCTCCAGGTTACAGGGCGGGCGTAAACCACTTGCCCTGTTGCCGAGCAACACGGTTAATGAGGGGGAGGGTGCTGGGATTCGAACCCAAAATTTCAAGAACTGCAGTTCTGGAAATTAATTCCTCGTTGCATATTGAACCACTTACTTTTGTCCCTTGACGAACCTAAGGCTTCAAAATAATGTATTTGGATGTTTGCTTTCGTGGGTTTCAATGTCTATATTTGGGCCAGATTTCCGTGGTCGAAGTCAAGTGGCGCGTTGCCGTGGCTTATTTTGACGATTTAGTTTCCCATTCATTGAGCAGCCGTGATACCTCCTTGAACGAGATAGGTTTCGTAAGGAACAGGTCCATTCCTTTACCCTAATAATCTTGGCCCCGGACTCCGTATCAACCGAACTCATTATCCTTTTCTTACATACCATTACGAAAATTCAGATATTTGCGATAAGAGTAACCGAAATATTATTCTGTGTCGGAATGTAGCGTGGCGATAGAAGGAGATAAATACGTCTGCCAGGGTCGAAAAATTAAATCACTGCTTATCATAATCTAGAGCCTTGACAGCAATTGGGCTTCCCTATTAGCTCGCTCGATTGCCCAGTTCATAATGACCTCGATCACCTCTTCAATCTGCTCCTTGGTGTTGTCCACGTGTATCGAAATTCGCACTCGATCCTGTCCTTTTGGAACAATAGGGTATCTCACCGGGTTGACCCAAAAATTAGATTGATGAATATGTTCGGCCAGCTCAATCGACTCAGCTGGTCTGGTAAGTAAGGGAATGATAGGCGATTGTGATCGCATAGACTTCCAGCTCTTCTCGTTTGGGACATATAAAATTCCTTTCTCATTGACAGCCGCCCACTGAGGATGACCGAGGAGGGTTTTCTGAAAGTGCCGGATATTTTCTTGGAGGCTCCGCCGGCGCTGATGAGTTTAGCTTTTTACTGGTAGATTCTGAAAGTTTTCCCAAACCTTTTCTCCATCTTCACTGGCCGAGATTTCGTAACCAGCTTTGACGGCCGCTAACGCGACAAATCCAGGGGCTGTGGAGAAGACGACACCCCGCGCATAATTGATGAGAGTGTATTTGACAATCGGGTCAGCCAGTATCACCCCTAAAAGGTTAGATTGATAATAGAGCGAGAAGAAGTGACAACTATACCTCCACTTGACCCAAAGGGTTTGCCATATGTATGCACACGAAGGCCTATTTCCTTCTCAAGTCCATGATGTGAGACGAACCCGGAGCCATTCGGTCCAAGAAGGCCGTTTGAATGTGCCTCATCTACCGAAAAGATATAATTCCTTCTTGGCAGGGTATTCTTGGCAATGTCAAGGAGTTCATGAATTGGGGTTTCATCTCCATCCATGCTATAATACGACTCCAAGGCAATGAAGACCACGTGGCTGCCATTTGCAATGCTAGGATTCTCATCGCGGATGCCTTCCAAACCATGGCGAAAAGATGCACAGTCGTTATGCGCAAACTGGATGGCCTTAGCCCGTCCAGCCCTCATTCCATCATGTATGCTTGCATGCGCATACTGATCGTACAAGATAAAGTCTCCAGGCTGTGGGATAGTTGACCAAAGTGCAACATTTGCATCAAAACCGGTGTTAAAAAACAAAGCTGACTCGGCGTTGTGGAACTGAGCGATATAACTTTCAAGGTCTTTCAGATATTGCGTGGTGCCTTCAAATATGCGAGTCGAGGTACTGCCGACAACGAAGTTTGGGTTTCTCTGGAGTTGATCTAGAAAAGATCTAGTCAATGCTCCCGATTTCGACAGCGAAAGTGTATCATTTGACCCGAAGTCTACCATTTGGGCAATGGTCGAAGGGTCGGGAGGGTTGATCAGCCTTTTGTCATGATCACGCTGATTCAATGCAGATTGAAGTTTTTGAGAAAGAATTTTACTGCCTTCCATGTTTGTTATCGGTGGATGCTGTTGTATTTCAGAGCAATGAAAGCTTTCTCAATTATGGATTGTAATGCAAGGATTTGGGGGCGTCGTGATGCCCATTTTATATCAAAAAATTATTTTAACAGATGAGATTGATGCCCACGCATACGAAGAAAAATGCAGAAGACTGGCTACGCATATCCTGGATCTTTCCTACCAAAATGATCAATCTGGCAAGATTCTAACCAACCGGAAAGAATTTCAAAACTCTCCTATGCAGCCCGATGAAAGCAGTTGATCTCTGTCTGTCTTTATTATGTCGAGGATCGTTGTCAGGACCAAATCAGGCTGTGAAGCTCAGTACGTATACTAATTGGGAGTGCTGTGGGGCCAACAGTGTACTTGATTAGCTTTCGGATATGACTTCTACTTTTGGAGAAGCCTACTTTTTGCTCTGTGTAACATATCCAATGCTGCCTAGTCTTGAAGAGAACTGAGTGGCAACTTGGAACGGATCCGTTGGCTGCTTTACCACATACATAGCAGCTAGTACGGCGACCACTCACGCCATTTCAAACAGCACCGATCCGTATCTGTCAACAGATGATGTCACCTGGGCAATATCTGCCATTATATGCGGAAATGGGACGCGTTACGCAGCCTGGGACCTCACGACTATTCACACGTTATTGGTCGTTCCCATGATAGTTGCCCCTGTGTACAAGTGAGCCACGGCTTTCTTCGCTCTATAGCTGCGGCGATCTCTTACATTCTTGTTGATGTCTACGATGGTAGACGATGGTATACAATATGTAAATTGTTATAGAGTTTCTGTACAAACTAGGAAAGATGACTGACTATATAGTTAGTAACTATAGGATGGCGAGCCTATGGCATCTAAGAGATAATAAACACCCCCTATAATCAATGCTATATAAATCGTTTAAAAAGAATCCCCCTATAGTCCTTTCCTATATAAAAAATAAAGCTATTTAGCTTCTAAAAAACCTTTCTTTAGGTATTAGGATATAGTCCTAATTAATCAATAAATCGCTGGAACGCTATTACTCCTAAAGGCTTTATAAAACTATTAGCGGCTTATTCCTATATAGGAATATATTTAAGTATTACTAAGCCTAATAAGACTTCCTATTATAGGAAATAGTATTATATAGTAATATACTTAGTTCTTATATAGTATTCTAGGTTCTTAATAAGTATAATAGTACTAGTATTATCGGTATAGATAATAACTAGCTTTTATAATAAGCTATAATCTTATATCCTTAATTTATTAAGTAGTAAGATTAACTAATATACTTCTTATATAGCTAATATCTATATAATATACTTAGACTTAGTTAATAAGAGAGTAATATAAGCTTACTTCTTTAATACTTAAGAAATAGGCCTACTAGTAAGGTAAAAGATAAAGCTAGAAGTAGAGATCCTATTAGTAGAGTAAGGACTAATATAGTTAGTATTATAATAACTATATAAAGTAGATTAGTAATTACTTTTAAACTAAATATAATAATTAATTATATCTAAAAGGTAGTAGAATAGATATTTAAGAGTTTATTTATATTATTAGCTAAGATTTCTAATATACTTAATAAGCTAGATAATAGTATAAGAGATATTACTATAGGTACTAATTATTAACTAAATAATTTTATTAACTTATTCTTAGTATAACTTATATTTAATAGGTATAGCTTACTCTATTATAGGAATAAGTAGTTCTTTTTTATTAAAAAGAGTTAAAACTAGCTTACTATACTATATATTATATTAGTAGAGTATTATAGTAATAAACTTCTTTTATAAGAGTTTAATTAAGTATCCTTTCTAGATAATCTTAATANTTTATTAAAAAGAGTTAAAACTAGCTTACTATACTATATATTATATTAGTAGAGTA